TGAAGTGTTTCCTAAAATGTTTGCTTGTGGATCCCGAGTGAGACGTTTTCTCTAACCCGTTTTCTCTTTTGTATGTCTTAAGGGACCATGGGAGGTTTCGGGGAGGTTGACCTTTGCGGATGGACACGCAAGGGTGCCGCATAACTTACGCAAAACCAGTTAAGTTCGTGACAACATGATGAATGTGGCCATGAAGACTGAGAGGCAACTCAAAAGAAAAGGCACAAGGTATGATTCAAAATCTTATTCGGGTTCTTCTTCTTCTTGGAAACCGAATTAGAGTAAGAAGGATGATAAACCCATTGTTAAGCCTAAAATTGATGAAACTAAAGGTAGAAATGAATTAGGCAGCAAGGGTAAAGGTGAGAATCTACCTAATCAAACTAGAGGTATTAAATGTTTTAAGTGCCTTGGGCATGGACATGTTTTAAGGCCCTAATAAGAGAGTTATGATAATGAGGGATGGAATTGTGGAATCTGAAAGTGAGAGAGAGGATGATGATGACATTCTAAAGGATGCTAGTGATCTAGAGTATGCTAAAGGTGAAAATCTAGTTGTTCAACGCACACTTAGTTTGCAAAATAAAAATGATGAACATGGTGAACAACGTGAAAATCTGTTTCATACTCATTGTTTAATTGCTAGCAAGTTGTGTAATGTGATTGTTGATAGTGGAAGTTGTACAAATGTAGCAAGCACCTTGCTCGTGGAGAAATTGAAATTACCTACTATCAAGCATACAAAACCTTACAAGTTACAATGGTTGAATAATAGTGGTGTAGTAAAGGTAAATCGGCAAGTGTTAGTTTCTTTTTCAATTGGTAGATATAATGATGAAGTTTAGTGTGATGTGATACCTATGTATGCTTATCATATGTTGTTGGGAAGACCTTGGTAATATGATCGAAGGGTAATACATATGGGTTCAAGAATCGTTATTCTTTAATCATAGATGGACAGAAATATTAGCTTAGACCTTTGCCTCCAAAGACAATTTTTGAAGGCCAAATGCACATAAAACAACAATATGAGGAGCTTGAGTCTTCATTAACCAAAACTTTGGAGAGGGAACAAGAAAGAGAGAAAAAAGAAAATGGTGAGTTGAGTGGTAAAAATGAGAGTATTGGGAAACACAAGGGGAGAGAAAACAAGGAAAGCATAAGTGAAAGAAAAACGAGTGTTTATGCCAAAATGAGTGATGTGAAGAAAGCCTTAACTATGAGGCAGCCCTTACTTGTACTTATGTACAGGGATATTTTGATTTCACCTAAACAAATTGACAAAAGTTTGCCTAGTGTCATTGTTGATCTTTTACAGGAAAATGAGGATCTCTTTCCCGAAGAAGTTCCTAATGGTTTGCCACCAATTAGAGGAATTGAGCATCAAATTGATTTCATTCCAGGTGCAAGCATACCAAATAAGCCAGCATATAGTTGCAACCCCGAAGAGACTAAAGAAATCCAAAAGCAAGTGAGCTTATGAAAAAGGGGTATGTGTGAGAAAGCATGAGTCTATGTGCAATTCCTGTTCTGTTGGTGCCTAAAAAGGATGGATCTTAGAGAATGTGTGTTGATTGCCGAGCCATCAACAAAATCACGGTAAAGTATAGACATATTATTCCTAGGCTAGATGATATATTGGATGAATTGCATGATTCTTGTATGTTTTCAAAAATTGATTTAAAATCTAAATATCATCAAATAAGAATGCATGAGGGTGATGAATGGAAATCCGCTTTCAAAACTAAACATGGTTTATATGAATGGTTGGTTATGCCTTTTGGCCTAACTAACGCACCTAGTACTTTCATGAGATTGATGAATCATATTTTACGTACTTACATTGGAAAGTTTGTAGTGGTTTATTTTGATAATATACTTGTGTATAGCAAAAGTTTAGATTAGCATGTAACACATTTAAAAACTGTTTTTGACGTGCTTAGAAAAGAAAAGTTATATGCTAATATAAAGAAATGCACTTTTTGCACTAATGAAATTACTTCTCTTGGATATGTTGTTAATGATAAAGGAATACATGTTAATCAAGAAAAAGTGAAAGTAATTAGGGAGTGGCCAAAACCTACTAGTGTTAGTGATGTTAGAAGTTTTCATGGTCTTGCTAGCTTTTATAGAAGATTCATTAAGGATTTTTCTACAATTGCTGCACCATTAACTGAATGCATCAAAAAGAATATGGGATTTAAATGGGGTGAAAAACAAGATGATGCTTTTAACTTGCTTAAAGACAAACTCAGTTCAGCACCTTTGTTTGCTTTACCGAACTTTGTTAAAACTTTTGAGATTGAGTGTGATGCAAGTGGAATAGGAATTGGAGGAGTCTTAATGCAAAATGGCAGACCCATTGCGTTCTTTAGTAAGAAGCTAAGTGGAGCAAGTCTTAACTACCCGACATATGACAAGGAGTTTACGCTTTGGTAAAAGTGTTAGAGACATAGCAGCACTATTTTTGGTACAAGGAATTCATTATACACACCGATCATGAGTCCTTGAAATATCTCAAAGGACAAGGAAAGCTAAACTGTAAGCATGCAAAATGGATAGAGTTTATTGAATCCTTTCCATACATCATCAAGTATAAACAAAGTAAGGAAAATGTGGTTGTCGATGCTCTTTCTAAAAGGTAAATTCTAATTTCTCAACTTGATATAAAATTATTGGGTTTTGAGTACATTAAAAATTTATACAATTCTGATCATGATTTTGTTAATGTTTATGAGGCATGTGAGAAAGGGGGTTTTGACAAGTTCTTCAGGCATGATGATTTTCTTTTTAAAGAAAATAAGTTGTGTGTTCTACAATGTTCAATGAGAGAATTACTTGTGAGAGAGGCACATAGTGGAGGTTTAATGGGGTATTTTGGGGTTAAAAAAACTTTAGATGTGTTAAGCGATCATTTCTTTTGGCAGCACATGAAAAGAGATGTTGAGAGATTGTGTGAGAAATGCATTACTTGTAAACAAGCTAAATCTAAAGTAATGCCTCATGGATTGTATACTCCTCTTCCTATAACTAGTGAGCCTTGGGTTGATATATCCATGGACTTTGTCTTGGGTTTACCTAGGTCAAAAGGAGGGAGAGATTCTATTTTTGTTGTTGTTAACAGGTTTAGTAAAATGGCACATTTCATTCCTTGCCACAAAACAGATGATGCAACACATGTTGCGGGGCTGTTCTTCAAAGAAATTGTAAGATTACAAGGCATTCCAAAGACAATTGTGAGTGATAGAGATGTGAAGTTCCTCAGCCACTTTTGGAAAACACTTTGGAGCAAGTTAGGTACAAGGCTGTTATATTCAACCACTTGTCACCCACAAACAGATGAACAAACGGAGGTGGTAAATCGAACTTTATCAACACTTTTAAGGGCCATAATTCAAAAGAATTTAAAATTTTGGGAGGAATGTTTGTCACTTATGGAGTTTGCTTATAATAGAAGTGTACATGCTACAACAAACCATTCTCCATTTGAAGTTGTGTATGGGTTCAATCCATTAACTCCTATAGATTTGCTATCTTTACCTTTAGAAAAGGCCAATTTGGATGGTAAGCAAAAGGCTGATTTTGTAAAAGCATTGCATGAAAGAGTCCGGACACAAATTGAAAAGAAAACTCTATAATATGAGAAACAACACAACAAAGGTCGAAAGCAAGTAGTATTTGAACCTGGTGATTGGGTTTGGGTGCACTTGAGGAAGGAAAGATTTCTTAACCAAAGGAAGTATAAACTAATGCCAAGAGGAGATGATCCATTTCGAGTCTTTCAAAAAATCAATGACAATGCATACAAGCTGGAACTACCAGGTGAGTATGGCAATGTTAGTGCAACATTCAATGTTTATGATTTATCTTTGTTTGATGCAGGTGATGAAGGCACTGATTCGAGGACCAATCCTTTCAATGAAAGGGGGAATGATATGAATGAGCAAGTTGATTATAATTCTGTTAAAGACCATTTAACTATTCATGGAGGACCAATAACAAGAGCTAAAGCTAAAAGGATGAAAGAAACCTTAACTTGTTTATTGGAAGACATTTGAAAGGAGCAAGCTGGTCAAAACTTGGTCAAGGTTCTGTGGATACAAGAAGAGCCTAAAACAGTCAACCTGATTTAAATAAATCCACATCGTGAAGAGAAAGTCTAGCCTTAAGAGAAAGATGAATTTTTAGTCCATTTTGAAGAATAAAGGTCATTCGGCCATATTAGACCATATTAGAAATTGTGGGCTTATTCATGAATAATCATTTAAATCAATTCAAGATAGATTCATAAGTAATCTACATTCATACATTAGGAATATGAATGTCATTTAATATATTTAATGGATTCATTCACTTTATACTTGGCCTTTGTACTATATAAACAAGGCCGACTCCCTTTATAAGGAATATAATTCAAAAGTGTATTCAATTTTCAAGTGTTTTGTTTTTAAGTTCTTACATGAACTTTGGAACTTATCAAAGCTTTTTTGCTTGTGGCATTCAAAACCCAAAAATCTTTGTTTTTCCTTTCAACTTATCAAGCTTCTTAGTTTGTGACGTTTTAAGGGAATCAAAGTGTTGTTCTAATTACTTCATCAAATTTACATTGATAAAGTGATTAGAATAGTTTCCCTAACTTCAATCTTGAACGATCCTTCTTGTTTCAATTCGTTAGAGGGGGTCAATTTGCATTTCATATGTATCATAGCTATTTAGCTATCGGGGTGTATGGTTGCTAAGTTGAAGATTTCCATCGTTTAGCATATACAACCCTCTCCTACCTACAAAAGAATTATGGGTGGATACCTCACCATCATATTCCATCCAAAAGAATTATATGATATAGTTCTTATCAAGTTAAAAATTATTGCAGTAATGTTTTACCAATGTAAGTGAATAATTATATTATTATATATGATGCCAGGGAATTTTTAACATGATTGCAATGTCCATTATTTTTTAACGAACACTTAAATAAATCTAGTCTCCAAGGACACATATGCACAAAAAAAGAACCTTTAATTTATGGGTAAATGGGTTAAATACTGTTTTCCCCTTTTCTTTTCTTTCTTCTCGCCTTTATTTCTCTCCAGAACTGAAACCTTCCCACAACTGGCCGACACACCCAATGATCGCTTTGACGACATAGTCAGACAATGGCACCACTGACTTGTAGGTAGCAGGGGCTACAAATTTCCACTTAATATCCATGATCAGCATTGATAGATACCGACCACGGTAACCATCTTTTTCCCCCAAAATCCATACATTCATTTCATGACCCTACCAGTTCCGGTGGTACCACTGCACCCATGATCATTTCTCAAGATCGGCCAATCTGAATCAAGATCAGACAATTCGTATTGGGATCGACCAGTCTTGACCCGGATTTGGTCCATTCTTTCAGCATACCAGCCGATTTGACTGTGTTCTGGCTGCCAAGGGTCGGATAACCGGAGAAGAAAGGAAGAAGACGGAGAGGCGGACAAGAAGAAGAATAAGAAGTAGAAGACAAGAAGAAGAGGAATTAAGAACAGGGAAGGGAAGGCGAAAAAGAGAGACTGACTCACCCGATATCGTTTCATCCAAAGCCTTCGACATCAGAAACCACCGTGCGAAGCCATGGATGCCTCAAGCCTCCTTCTGCGGCCACCGCCAATTAATCGGTATTTCTCCGAAACGTGACTCTTCACGGGACTCGTAAATAACAGGATTTCTTGCATTGAAACACGTAGCAAAGGTCCTTTCGAACTCGCTAGTCCTAAAGGGCCCCCACACGTTTTTTTTAGGCATTCTATCAATAAAGATCATTCTACCCGTTTTTTTTTTCTTTTTTTTTACGAAAGGCACTTCGCATTCATTTCCTATTGTCACGATATTCGATGTATCTTTTGATCTCATTCTATATATTTGTGTCTTTGAATCTCATTCTTGAATAATGTATAGAGATTTACAATAGATAGTTTTATTTTAATTAATATTTATAGTATTTAAAATTTATATATACAAATTATGTCGGTGATTATGTAAAGGTAAAACTATTTTAAAATAGGTCATTCAAATAATCATTTAAAATATTTTTTAGATATATAAAATAGTATAAAATATCAATTATCCTAATACTCTAAGATTGCTTGGGTGGCATAAGATTGAATGGATTTTTGGATAGTGTCTTTCAAACCATATCTATGTTACATATGCCTTGCTAAACAATCATGTGAGTAATTACATGTGAGTGATTATTGCTAGTTATTGCTAGTTACTATCTGGAATGTTATTGCTAGTTATATACGCCTTACAAATTAATCATGTGAGTTATTATATGACACACTATATAGTTTTTTTTGTTATTATTATTATTATGATATTTTCTCACTTTATATTAGATAAAAAATATATTATGATGTTCTTAGATCTATGCAATGGGAATTGGATCATGATGAAATCATGATAATGAGACCAATTCGCTTGTAAACACAGACCCTAAATATTCTCAATCATAGGTTACTTAGAGGGATATCGAGATAACCGGATAAACCGATGTACTATATACTCGTCCATATGATAGAAGCAATTGGTCTCATAACTACTTGTATGGGGACACTAGGGATATAGTGCAGGTACTCATTGAAGAGTGAGTTCACTGAATAATTCGCTCACGGAATGCTGGATGGTTAATGATACCTCATCGTCGGACAATAGTTCCGTAGTCCTAGTTATATATCTAGTCCTTAAATTTGAGACACCAATGATGCCCTGTATTAGTACTATACTGTTTGATATCAGACTTACAGGTCTAGAAGTTCTAGATCTAACACAGTTGGTCATCGATAGTGTAGCTAATCTTACAAGAGCAATTAAGTGTCGATAAAGGATCATCCACTCTCAGTGTCATGAGAGGACTATGTTGTAGTGGCCTAGTATATCTATAGTCGATGAGTTAAGTAAATTATTATAAGATGATATTTCACTAAGTCAGAAGGAGTTCTAATAGCTACAACTCACGGCTAACTCGATATTTGGCCTAGAGAGTCAAAACCTTTGTTTTATTTGATCCGTTGTGTGAGACCCAATAAGAGTTTAGAGTGGATAATTGGATAGAGATCCAATTTTCATTCAGCTATGGATAATTTGATGGAGATCCAATATACAATATGTTAAGGTAATTGGATGGAGATCCAATACTCAATAAGGCAAGATCTATTAGGTTAGCAAAGAGGGCTCTCTATAAAAGTGATATGGGACTAAAAGGTTTATAAGGTTGAACCCCTTTAGCCGCCACTTCCTTGACCTCCCTCCTTCCTCCAGTGATCTGCCCCTTCTTTGGCATGAGAGGATAGCAAGAGAGCCACCCCTTTGCCGTTGCCCCTGTTGCATGGTGTTATGCAAAAATGAGGAAAGAATGCCTTAAGCGAGGAGGTGCATTATCGCTTTATATATCATATGGATCACCATTAGAGAGGAGCTTGCAAGAGCACTTTCATCCACAGACTTGGATATATAGTTTTAGAGATATATGATCTCCCCTATGTGAGAGCATCTCATGAATCTTATACAGTTTTTGGTTTCATGAGTTTTTTGCTCCTAATTATTGCACAAAAATTATATATCGTTCTTTTGGAAAATTAATTTTGTTTTTTGTTTTCCACTATATATATGATGCTCTCCCAAGATTTTCTAATAGTAGTATCAGAGCCAGGTTCATTATGCAATGATTGGTTATAAACTGCGTATATTATTGCATGTTGTGTAGAATCAGTTTTTGCATAAACTAGTTGTATTTCTCATTAATTTTAGATTAGAACAGCATAGTTTTTGTTAGGACCAAGTCGGCACTAAGAGGGGGGGTGAATTAATGTGTACATAAAAATTACATCGAGTCAAAAATCTTCATACGATAAAACCATATCAAGGAGGGTTTAACTTGAAAACATCCATAAGAGTGTGCAGCTAAAGTAATGAGAAAGTAAAGCAGTTTGCAATAAAGGTAAACAACAGAATAGAAATGCAAACCGATTTATAATGGTTCAGTCATCGTGACCTACGTCCACTCATAATTCCTCTTCACTCGAGGCCATCGGCTTCCACTATAGATCTTCTTTCCAATGAGCGAAGATCAAATACCCTTACACTATTTCTCCTTTTCATAGGTTTAGGAGAGAACCTTTACACCCCTCTTTTACAAATATTTTCTCACACACCTCCCTTAAGACTATCACTAAGCTCTTGGAAGAGGGATAATATACTTAAAAGAGTTTTATAACCTTAGAATCACAGAGTTTTTGCTCTCTTTTTATGTGTATTCAAAGTAAGAATTTGTGGGGTGTTTATAGACCCCAAATGACTTCAAAACTTGGAGCCAAAATTCAAATCCTCAAGTTTCTGAGGTTCTGGCAGTACCACTACCAATACTGGGTGGTACCACTACCAATACTGGGCGGTACTATTAGGAATGAGTCGGCACTAGGGGGAGGGATGAATTAGTGCAGTAGTAAAAACGTCGGTTATGAAAATTCTTCATATGTTGAAAACCGATTCCGAAAATATACTTAGATTGAAAGCATACGGAAGAGCATAGCAAGTAATGAGAAGTCAGTTTGCAGTTTAAAGTAAATTGATCAAAATAAAGGCAAACCAGATTTTTATAGTGGTTCAGTCGTCGTAACCTATATCCACTCCACCGATTCCTCTTCCGTCGAGGCCACCGGCGTCCACTATCAGTCTTCCTTCAATAGGCGAAGACTAACCACCTTTTACAACTCAATTCTCCTTTTACCGAGTTTAGAAGATAACCCTTACAACCTCACTTACTCTTCTCTTAAACTATTCTAATACTTAGAACTTTTGAAAGGAGTTCACATAAGATTGTAGCAGTATTAGTGACTCAAGTTGACTCAAATTTGGAGCCTAAAAATATCTCAGCTCGAGTTTCCTGGGTTCGGGCGGTACTACCGCCTATGCTGGGCAATACCACCGCTAGTGTCAGTTTGACACTTACATTGCACTAGGTAATACCACCACCCAGTCTGGTGGTACCACCGCCTGTAGCCTCTCGGAGGCTATGTCTGGGCGGTACCATCGCCCAGACCGACGGTACCATTGCCTGACACATTCTCAGAGACTATGCCACGACGGTGCCACCTCTTGGGTCACTATTTGGGCCTTTTCATTGGGCTCAACACAGTTCTTACATGGGCCCAACTGGTCCCTAATTAGGTTGGCCCAATTTCAATCCCAATTATGTGCTAACTACGAATTCTAAGACATTTCCTAAGTTAAACAAGTCTGTAAGTCTAGTTTCTTCTGACGATCTTCCAACGAACTTCCGATGATCTCTCGGCAATGTTCCAATGGACTCCCGGCAAACTCCTGGACTTCACGACAATCTTCTTGGTGAGTTTCGACAAGTTTCTTTGGTAAGCTCTTAGACTTCTCGGTTGGTTCCGACAGAACTTCTGACAAACGTCTGGACTTCCGATGAACTCTCGAACTCCCAATGAAATCATGTTCTTGACTCTAGGACTTCATTTTGCTTTATGCCTTACTATCGTAGTTAATCTTGCACATGTAAAAATACACTTTGATCTAGATAATTATTACTAAGCTTGAACCATGTTGTCCAACATGTCATTGGTCCATCAACGCTTTGTCCGATTCTTCGACGCATCGTCCTCTCTTGCGGCCTATTGCCCAATCGGCCAGTTGACTCTGCAACTCCAATATCCTTAGTGTAATATCCACTCTTCTTGGCCTGATGCTTGAATCCATGGCCCGAATCCTTCTATTGATACGTTGACCGATCCTCCGGCTCGACGTCTAATCTTCTGACATGTTCCACCGGCCCAACATGATTCTTGCTGCTTTAATTGTCTCATCTTGATTGAAGCATCTTGCATCACTCAAAACGCAGATCAAATCATAAACATTTATTTATTTGTTTCATCATCAAAATTTGAGATTCAACAATCTCTCTCTTTTTATGATGACAA